AGGGTGTTTGGTCCTGTCGGGGTTTGTTTCGGGGTGTCCTGTCAGGGTGTTTGGTCCTGTCAGGGTGTTTGGTCCTGTCGGGGTGTTTGGTCCTGTCAGGGGTGTTTGGTCCTGTCAGGGTGTTTGGTCTGTGTTTGGTCCTGTCGGGGTGTTTGTCCTGTCCTGTCAGGGTGTTTGGTCCTGTCGGGGTGTTTGGTCCTGTCAGGGTGTTTGGTCCTGTCTGGGTGTTTGGTCCTGTCGGAGGGTTTGGTCCTGTCGGGGCGTTTGCTTCATGGATCACAGCTCCGGTTGTCGGTTCTGCTGTTGTGCCCTTGTGCAGGACACCTCACTGTTTATTAAATTAACACTTTCTGTTTTGTTTGTTTTGTTTTTTGCTTCAGAATAAACCGACGCCCCCAAAACCTGCCGTCCAATCAAAACCAGCCCCTCCCAAGAACGGACCAATCAGACCCCAGCCCCACCTCAGCTTCCTTCTTGACATTCTGACTCAGCCAATCAGAGCGCAGCCGTCGTCCTCTGAGAGCAGCGAGGACAAAACGGCGTCTCACGGCGTCCGAAACTCACCGCCAGTCGCCTCATTCTCATCAGAGGAGAACTGACCGAGACCGCGGCGACGGGACCGCGGCGACGGGACCGAGCGGCGACGGGACCGAGGCCGCGGCGACGGGACCGAGAACCGAGAACCACATCAGAGAAAAGTGTAATATGGGAACTTTAAATGTGAGGTTAAAGCTGCACTGTGTAACTTTTCAGGTGGAGGGTCCGTCACCTGGTTATTTCTTTGTCTAGAATGTTCCACGGGCCACATTACAGGTCAGATCTGTGGAGAGGCGTCTCTAAACACATGGGGAATAATTGTATTTTGAGCAACAGAAACTAAAACCTTGTCATGTCTCACTTCAGCCTCTGGTTTATTTTAAAGACTCATGTTTATTTCTTGGTGTTAAATAAAATAAAATGATCAGATAAAGTGATTTTATCTTTAAACAAAATGATTAGAAGAGAATCCTCACAGGACGTGTGACTGAAACATGTTCTACAGAGACTCATCCAGAGTCCTCAGACCCGTCACTGTTTAAACTTCACACGGTGAAGAAAATCTGTCCCGTCAGATTTAACATTTTAAATCCTGCTGAATTTCTCACTTTGAATTTTTCAACTTTGAAAAACATATTTGAATTTTTTGTGGTTGTGTCCTGGACACTCGGGTGAAGAGACGAGCAGAGCTGTAGACTCCACCTGGTGGTTGTTGGGTTCTCTGCTGGAGGAGGAACCTGGTGGGACCTGGTGGGACCTGATGGGACCTGGGTGGTGGGACCTGGTGGGACCTGGTGGGACCTGGATGGGACCTGGTGGGACCTGGTGGGACCTGTTGGGACCTGGTGGGACCTGGTGGGACCTGGATGGGACCTGGTGGGACCTGGTGGGACCTGGTGGGACCTGATGGGACCTGGTGGGACCTGGTGGGACCTGGTGGGACCTGGTGGGACCTGGTGTGTAGTGAGGCTCTGTGGAGAACGTCTGGCAGAGCCTCGGTCAGGACGACCTTCAGCTCACACCTCCAGAAGAACTTCTCTCAGATTCCGGGGGAGTGTGGGGACCTGGAGTGTGAGTGGGTTTTGTTGTCGGTCTCTGTTGTGGATGCGGAGCTCGTAGCTCTGGTCGTGAGCTCGTAGCTCTGGTCGTGAGCTCGTAGCTCTGGTCTCTGTTGTGGATGCGGAGCTCGTAGCTCTGGTCGTGAGCTCGTAGCTCTGGTCGTGAGCTCGTAGCTCTGGTCGTGAGCTCGTAGCTCTGGTCGTGAGCTCGTAGCTCTGGTCGTGACGTCTGTGGTGCTTTTCTCAGCAACATTCACCGTTTTACATTTTAAACAAGAAGCAGAAGAGTCTGAGTCTGTGAGTTTGATCAAGACGAGTTTATTAGAATTAAACTGATTAAACAGGACACACACGACTGGACTGCAGAAACAGCTTCAGGTCAAGGCCTGTGGCTCTGGACACTGTGCCTCAGGTCCCTCTGGTCCTTCTGGTCCCTCTGGTCTCTGTAGTACCTCTGGTCCCTCTGGTCTCTGTGGTTAAAAACAGTTTAAACTACAGTTCCCACGAGACTTCAGAACTTACTCCAACCAAGACCCAAACACACGAGGAGGAGAGAGAAGCTTCAGAAACAGGTCTCAGGTGAGTCTCCCAGCTCAGGTCAGAGAACAGCCTCAGTCAGGAGGAGTCAGGTAGCCTCAGGAGCTCAGGTCAGAGGAGCAGCCTCAGGAGCTCGTCAGAGGACAGCCTCAGGGCTCAGTCAGAGGAGCAGCCTCAGGAGCTCAGGTCAGAGGAGCAGCCTCAGGAGCTCAGGTCAGAGGAGCAGCCTCAGGAGCTCAGGTCAGAGGAGCAGCCTCAGGAGCTCAGGTCAGAGGAGCAGCCTCAGGAGCTCAGGTCAGAGGAGCAGCCTCAGGAGCTCAGTCAGCTCAGGAGCTCAGAGGCAGCCTCAGGAGCTCGGTCAGAGAGCAGCCTCAGCTCTCAGAGGAGCAGCCTCAGGAGCTCAGGTCAGAGGAGCAGCCTCAGGAGCTCAGGTCAGCAGAGCTCAGGTCAGACAGCCTCAGAGCTCTCAGAGAGCAGCCTCAGGAGCTCAGGTCAGAGGAACAGCCTCAGGAGCTCAGGTCAGAGGAGCAGCCTCAGGAGCTCAGGTCAGAGGAACAGCCTCAGGAGCTCAGGTCAGAGGAGCAGCCTCAGGAGCTCAGGTCAGAGGAGCAGCCTCAGGAGCTCAGGTCAGAGGAGCTGTGGTGTTTCACCCTCACACGTGCAGTATTTAACATCTTCTCAAAGGTTCATGTTTGTTTAAAGTGTTTGCAGAAGTTTGACCCTGGAGCTGAATCTGAAAACAGAGACACTTCAGGATTCAGGGTCCTGCTTAAATGTTTGTAATAAATCATGATTATCACTTTTATTAACTGGTCTTTCAGGACCTGAGTTTGAGGGCCCTGTTCCAGGAGCTCTGAAGTGAAGGTACATTTGGGTGGAGTCTGGATTGAGCCTAAATGGAAGTGTGACTTTTGTTTTTAAACTTTTTAGATGAGCCTCAAAATCCTCTGACGACTCGACTGAGTTCAGTTTGTTATTTAAGTTTTTACAAAAGAAAAACACACTGGCATCTGCATTATTTAGAAACCCACCTCAGGTCCAAACCCTCCTCGGCGCCTCGCGGTCCGAGCGTTGACCTCAGCGGGCTGTGGGGGGCGCCGTCTCCTCGGGGCGGGTTCACCGGAGTGGGCGGGGCCAGGAGCAGCAGGGGCGTGGAGGAGGGAGGGGGGGGAGGAGGTGGGGAGCAGGAGAACAGGTCCTCAGAGTCCCACAGGTCCAACTCATCCACGGCCAGGTTTGGGACCAGGTTTGGGACCAGGTTTGGGACCAGGTTTGGGACAGGTTTGGGACCAGGTTTGGGACCTGGTCTGGGTCCTGGTCTGGGTCCTGGTCTGGGTCCTGGTCTCGCTGTGGGTCGGTTTTCCTGTTGGTTTCCTCTTGAGCTTTACTTGGGGTCAGAGTTGAGCCGGAGCGGACTACACCTCCCAGAATCCCTCTCTTTGTGAGCTGAAGAGCCTGCAGTCCTTCACTCCTCCACCAGTGGCCGCCGTGGTCCACCGCAGCTCCGCTTTCGGTTTCACTCATGTTTAACCGTTTGTCGGGCCGTGTGGCGGTTGGATCGGGGACGTCAGATGAAGATCCTGGGTTCAGATCTTTGTTCCGAGCGTCTGAAGCTTCTGTTGGTGCCTCCTCCCTCGTCGGACCTTTAGCGAAAACCTTCCCGCTGTTGAACGCTCCACTTGGCGCTCGCTCCAGAGGAAAGTTACTGATTAGAGCTTTTATCCTCAGACGGTGAGCGTTCGAGGCGTCTGGGGTGTTTCTGGAGGCTTTGGGAAGCGTGCTCGGCTGTGGAAGCGTCTGCAGCGTGAACTTGGACGGACTGTGAGACGGAGCCATCACTCTGAAGCTCCTGAAGTCCACGCTGGTGCCCTGTTTTGAAGCGGAAGCCTCCAGACTTTGGTTGAGCTTCGGTTTGGTGATGTTCTCGGACACACTTGGGTGTTTTGTCATACAGCTCTCCAGCGTCTGACTCGACTTGGAGATCCTGTCCTCGTTACTGTTCGTCGGAGCTTCTTCTCGTGTGTCTCCGGTTCTTTTCGCAGTTTGAGGCGTGACCAGCGGTGAACGGCTTCTCTCCGGGTCGTACCTGGCGTTTAGGTTCTGAGGCTCAGGTTTCTTCTTCACAAACCTCTGGCTCTGCTCGGAGTGAGATGGTTTAGGGTTCTTCAGACTCACTTTAGGCTCTTTGTCGTGTTTGGGGTCCGGCGAAGGCGCTCGGCTCGCTTTAGCTTTCACACTGGGGTTGTTGGTGGAAGTCTTTGTTGGATCTTGTGCGTCGTTGGGTTTTGGAGCTTTAGTTTTGACGGGAGCTGTGTTCTTCGGGGCGTTCTCCTTGGTTCCTGGGGTCTTCGTGGGTTTGGTGGTCTCCGGCGCGGTCAGATTGGCTTTGGGGAGCTTGGCCTGCCTCGCGGCTCTCGTCTTGTCTTCGTTCGTTGTCTTGTCTTGTTCCTTTCTGGTTCTGGTTTTCTCGTCCAGGTTCTCGGGGAGTTTGTGGTGTTTCCGCTCCTTCTCCTCCGGCTCCTCTTTGGTGGGTCTCGTGGTGCTTTTGGGGATTTTAGGCAGAGTGGAGTTCTCCCTGTGGTCCTTTTGGATCTTTGCGTTTAGTTCGTCTGAAAACCTGAAGACAAAAAAACGAAATGTTAAACGATTATTAGAAAACTGTTGAGCCAACGTTTTATTTCATTATTGATTTAAGACACGTGTGATAGATCCAGTTAGTCTTCACTAGGATTCAGTGAAGTTCTGTACCTGTCTGTGCCTGACAGGGCTGCACCTGACAGGGCTGCACCTGACAGTGTCGTACCTGATGTTGAAGGAGTCGTGGGTGAAGAATTCGTGCTCGAGCAGCTCTGAACACTCAGGTCTCTGCTCCGGCGCCATCTGGAGGCAACTCTGAGGAGAACACAGCAGAGTTTAAACATCCAGACCAGGACTGGACCAGGACCAGACCCGGACTGGACCCGGACGGGATCAGTACCTGGGCGAGGCGGAGCGCGGCGGGGGGGAGGGACGGGAAGCGCTGCTGTAACGTGATTGGTCCAGAGCACTGAGGCAGACGCACTCCAGAGAACAGAGGGTTCGACTGGAACAACTCCTGATGGTGAGAGGTCAGGGCCCCTGAAACGGAACCAGGACCAGGACCAGGGTCAGAACCAGGACCAGGGTCAGAACCACAGTCAGAACCAGGACCAGGGTCAGAACCAGGACCAGGAACCAGGGTCAGAACCAGGACCAGGGTCAGAACCAGGGTCAGAACCACAGTCAGAACCAGGACCAGGGTCAGAACCAGAACCAGGGTCAGAACCAGGACCAGGGTCAGAACCAGGGTCAGAACCACCAGGGTCAGAACCAGGACCAGGGTCAGAACCACAGTCAGACCAGGGTCAGAACCAGAACCAGGGTCAGAACCAGGACCAGGGTCAGTCAGAACCAGGGTCAGAACCAGGACCAGGGTCAGAACCAGAACCAGGGTCAGAACCAGGGTCAGAACCACAGGGTCAGAACCAGGACCAGGGTCAGAACCAGGGTCAGAACCAGGACCAGGGTCAGAACCAGGTACGAGAACAAGGGTCAGAGGGATGAAGTGTAAACTCAGACTCCTGACCAGGACCATGAACGCTCTGGTCACAGGAACATGAAAACATCTCTACAAATCACTCTGGGACTTTTTTCTTGAGATGTGCACAGTGTCACCACGGTAACTGTAGTGTCACCACGGTAACTGTAGTGTCACCACGGTAACTGTAGTGTCACCACGGTAACTGTAGTGTCACCACGGTAACCGCTGAACATTCTGCCATAGACGCACACACAGAGCACCTCAGCGAACAGTGAGCAGCTCCAGAGGTCAGAATAATTTCGCGTGTTCTGTCCGCGTCGCTCTAGAGCGTTTCATGGTCCTAGAGTCAGGAAGTGCACAGTAGCATGCTAGTTGTTATCTTTGTTGTCAGTGTGTGTTAAATTTGACTGTGGAATAATGTCAGAATGTACCTGTGACCCAAATCAATCAATCATCAAGCTTTACTGTGACGAGTCTCTGGAGGTTCTGGAGGTTCTAAAGGTTCTAAACGTTCTAAAGGTTCTAAAGGTTCTGGAGGTTCTAAAGGTTCTGGAGGTTCTGTTCTCACCGAAGCAGCGCACGATGTGGTGGATCTGGTCCAGGTCCGACTCTCCGGGGAACAGGGGCCGACTGGTGAGCATCTCCAACAGCAAACAGCCCACGGCCCAAACGTCCACCGGCCTGAGGACAGAGGGCAGAGGTCAGAGGTCACACGGGCCTGAGGGGCAGAGGTCAGAGGTCACCTCACGAGTATTTCGCAGCCCATGAGCCTCATCGTTTTGTTCTTAAATGTTCTTGTGAAGCGGCGACTCAAGATCCTGATGTTTTTCTTTTCTCTGTTTTGTTGTTAAATCTAAATCTGAACATAAATAATTGACCAATCAGACGCCTCCGTTCCCCAAGGTCGAGGTTTGAGTGACATTTACATTTATCCAATGAGAGCGCGACTTTCCAACTTTAACAAGTGGATCAGAACATGAAATAAAACGATGAGTGGAGCCTGACGTTGTGTTTGTTGTTTCTCTGTCGGCTGATTGTTCTTCAGAGTCTTTCACTTTAACCTTTAATTTGTTCTTTTAGTCTTAAAATATAACGATATATGTTCATTTACAGTTCGTCGGGGCTTGTTTGGTTTAATTATGCTAATAAACCTTCAAAAGATCCTGATGTCCAGTTTTTCTGGTGATTAAAATAAATCAAATAAACTGATGGTGTTAGATTCATTAGTTCAATCATCTGTGTAGTTGTAAAACAGCCCAGAGTAAATATCACATCTGTGTTCAGGTGAAAAAACTAAAACCCACAGAGGATGAGGTGAGGGGGCGGGACATTTAACGCCGCGGTCATGGGCGCGGGTCGTGTATTTCGCCGCCTGACGTGTTTAAAAGGAGGAGTTTTCGCTGAACTGAACCTCAGACGGACGTTGTGACGCGTCCGGACGTCACACGTACTTTCCGTAGTGCGTGTCTCCCACCAGCAGCTCGGGGGGGCGGTACCAGCGCGTGGCCACGTAGTCGGTGTAAGCTCCGCCCTCCGACGCCGCCACGGTGCGAGCGAAGCCGAAGTCGCACAGTTTGACCACGCCCCCCTGAGAAATGAGGATGTTCTCGGGCTTGATGTCGCGGTGGATCACCTGCACAGGTAAACACAAGTACACACAAGTAACACAAGTACACACAAGTACATACAAGTACACACAGGTAAACACAAGTACACACAAGTACACACAAGTACACACAAGTACACACAAGTACACAAGTACACACAAGTACACACAGGTAAACACAAGTACACACAAGTACATACAAGTACACACAAGTACACACAGGTAAACACAAGTACACACAAGTACATACAAGTACACAAGTACACACAGGTAAACACAAGTACACACAAGTACATACAAGTACACACAAGTACACACAGGTAACACACAAGTACACACAAGTACACACAAGGTACATACAAGTACACACAGGTAAACACAAGTACACACAAGTACACACAAGTACACACAGGTAAACACAAGTACACACAAGTACAGTACATACAAGTACACACAGGTACACACAAGTACACACAAGTACACACAAGTACATACAAGTACACACAAGTACACACAGGTACACACAAGTACACACAGGTACACACAGGTACACACAAGTACACACAACACACGAGTACACACAGGTACAACACAAGTACACACACAGGTACACACACACAAGTACACACACAAGTACATACAAGTACACACAAGTACACACAGGTAAACACAAGTAACACACAAGTACACACAACACACAGGTACACACAGGTACACACAAGTAACACAAGTACAACACAGGTACACAAGTACACACAGTACACACAAGTACACACACAGGTAACACAAGTACACAAGTACATACAAGTACACACAAGTACACACAAGTAAACACAAGTACACACAAGTACAGTACAAGTACACACAGGTACAAGTACACAAGTACACACAAGTACACACAAGTACACACAAGGTACACACAACAAGTACACACAGGTACACACAGGTAACACACAAGTACACACAAGTACACACAAGGTACACACACAGGTAAACACAAGTACACACAAGTACACACAAGTACACACAAGTACACACAAGTACACACAGGTACACACAGGTACACACAAGTACACACAAGTACACACAAGTACACACAGATACACACAGGTACACACAAGTACACACAGGTACACACAAGTACACACAGTAACACAGGTACACACACAAGTACACACAAGGTACACACAACACAGTACACACAAGTACACACAGGTAAACACAGTACACACAAGGTACACACAGGTACACACAGGTACACAAGTACACACAAGTACACAAGTACACACAAGTACACAGTACACAAGTACACACAGGTAAGTACACACAGTACACACACACACAGGTAAACACAGGTACAACACAGGTACAACACAAGTACACACAGGTAAACACAAGTACAAGTACACAAGTACACACAGTAAACACAAGTACACACAGGTAAACACAGGTACAACACAGGTACACACAGGTACACACAAGTACACACAGGTAAACACAAGTACACACACAAGTACAACACAGGTACACACAAGTACACACAGGTACACACAGGTACACACAAGGTACACACAGGTACACACAGGTACACACAGGTAACACACAAGGTACAGGTAAACACAGGTACACAAAGGTAAACACAAGTACACACAGGTACACACAGGTAAACACAAGTACACACAGGTACACACAGGTACACACAGGTACACACAGGTAAACACAGGTACACACAGGTACACACAGGTACACACAGGTACACACAAGTACACAAGTACACACAGGTAAACACAGGTACACACAAGTACACACAGGTACACACAAGTACACACAGGTACACACACACAAGTACACACAGGTACACACAAGTACACACAGGTACACACAGGTAAACACACAGGTACACACAGGTACACACAAGTACACACAGGTACACACAGGTACACACAAGTACACACAGGTAAACACAGGTACACACAGGTACACACAAGTACACACAGGTACACACAGGTACACACAAGTACACACAGGTACACACAGGTGTGTGTTGTGTGTGTGTGTGTGTGTGTGTGTGTGTGTGTGTGTTGTGTGTGTGTTGTGTGTGTTGTGTGTGTGTGTGTGTGTGTTTGTGTGTGTGTGTGTGTGTGTGTGTGTGTGTTGTGTGTGTGTGTGTGTGTTGTGTGTGTGTGTGTGTGTGTGTGTGTGTTGTGTGTGTGTGTGTGTGTGTGTGTGTGTGTGTGTGTGTGTGTGTGTGTGTGTGTGTGTGTTGTGTGTGTGTGTGTGTGTGTGTGTGTGTGTGTGTGTGTGTGTGTGTGTGTGTGTGTGTGTGTGTGTGTGTGTGTGTGTGTGTGTGTGTGTGTGTGTGTGTGTGTGTGTGTGTGTGTGTGTGTGTGTGTGTGTGTGTGTGTGTGTGTGTGTGTGTGTGTGTGTGTGTGTCTGTGTGTGTGTGTGTGTGTGTGTGTGTGTGTGTGTGTGTGTGTGTGTGTGTGTGTGTGTGTGTGTGTGTGTGTGTGTGTGTGTGTGTGTGTGTGTGTGTGTGTGTGTGTGTGTGTGTGTGTGTGTGTGTGTGTGTGTGTGTGTGTGTGTGTGTGTGTGTGTGTGTGTGTGTGTGTGTTGTGTGTGTGTGTGTGTGTGTGTGTGTGTGTGTGTGTGTGTGTGTGTGTGTGTTGTGTGTGTGTGTGTGTTGTGTGTGTGTGTTGTGTGTGTGTGTCTCACGTTGTGTTGGTGGCAGTGGGCCGTGGCTCGGAGGATCTGGTACAGGTGTTGTCGACAGGTGAGCAGGTCCAGTCCCTGTGGGTTTTGTTCCAGTTCGTCCAGAAGAGTTTTTTCCACAAACTCAAAGACGAGAAACCAACGTCTGCGGCGCTTCCAGACGTCCACAAGACTCACCAGGTTATCATGACGCAGGTGCTGCCCGACGACAGGACAGGTGAACACACCACAGGTGAAGACACGACAGGACAGGTGAACACACCACAGGACAGGTGAACACACCACAGGTGAACACACCACAGGTGAAGACAGGACAGGTGAACACAGGACAGGACAGGTGAACACACCACAGGTGAAGACAGGACAGGTGAACACAGGACAGGTGAACACACGACAGGTGAACACACCACAGGACAGGTGAACACATGTCAGGTGAAGACAGGACAGGACAGGTGAACACACGACAGGTGAACACACGACAGGTGAACACATGACAGGACAGGTGAAGGAGTCGGCAGAGATGCACAAAAGTAAGAAAATGGCGTCAGATGTTTCTGTTTTTACAAACTCATGATAAACTTTTAAAAGTGAATTTCTCTGGATTATCGCTCGTATCAAAAACCGTCGTGACCCTGACGCCCTGAAGTCCGCGCGTCGTCGTGGCGACCGCGGTGTGATTGACAGTCTCACCCGCAGCAGGCGCACCTCCCTCTGGGCGATCTTCTTCACCGTTTTATCTTCGTCCGAATCCAGAAACTTCTTGATGGCGACGAGGCGGCCGCTCTCTCGGTGACGACACTTCAGCACGGCGCCGTAACTGCCCTCGCCCACCAACCCCAGGGACTCGTACCTCTCCATGGAGACGGGAGGGGGCGGGGACAGGGGCGGGGACAGGTGAAACGGGTCAAACACCTGAAAAACATAAGACAGAAGTGAGGACCACACACACATCCACACACACGTCCACACACACGTCCACACGTCCACACACACGTCCACACACACGTCCACACACACACGTCCACACACACGTCCACACACACGTCCACACGTCCACACACACGTCCACACACACGTCCACACACACGTCCACACACACGTCCACACGTCCACACACACGTCCACACACACGTCCACACACACGTCACACACACACACGTCCACACGTCCACACGTCACACACACACGTCACACACACACGTCCACACACACGTCCACACACACGTCACACACACACACACACACGTCCACACACACGTCCACACGTCCACACGTCCACACGTCACACACACGTCACACACACACGTCACACATCACACTCCACACGTCACACGTCCACACACACGTCCACACACACGTCCACACACACGTCCACACACACGTCCACACACACGTCCACACACACACACGTCCACACACACGTCCACACACACACACGTCACACACACACGTCACACACACGTCACACACACGTCCACACACACACACGTCCACACACACGTCCACACACACACACGTCCACACACACACGTCCACACACACGTCCACACACACGTCCACATGTCCACACACACGTCCACACGTCCACACACACGTCCACACACACGTCCACACACACGTCCACACGTCCACACACACACACGTCCACACACACGTCCACACGTCCACACACACGTCCACACGTCCACACACACGTCCACACACACACGTCCACACACACGTCCACACACACGTCCACACATCCACACACACGTCCACACACACGTCCACACACACGTCCACACACACGTCCACACACACGTCCACACACACGTCCACACACACGTCCACACACACGTCCACACACACACACGTCCACACGTCCACACACACGTCACACACACGTCCACACGTCCACACACACGTCCACACACACGTCCACACACACGTCCACACACACGTCCACACACACACACACGTCCACCACACACACACACACGTCCACACACACGTCCACACACACGTCCACACACACGTCCACACACACACATGTCCACACACACGTCCACACACACGTCCACACGTTCGTCCTGTCGACCTGATCCTGCCTCAGATTCGTTTCAGTGAAATTTACAAAGTGACGTTGAATCTGTGGAGCCAGACGCGCCGCCGTGATCACTTCCTGTCTGGAGTCACATGTGCAGACTGGGCTTTAGTTTCATTCACACGTGTCTGAGTGTCTCCAAAACTCAAAACGCTCTGTTCCACCTTGTGATGTCATGAAGTGATGTTTGTCACGTGCAAATGGAACAAAACACAACTCCACATCTGTGTCTGTGTGTGTGTGTGTCTGTGTGTGTGTGTGTGTGTGTGTCTGTGTGTGTGTGTGTGTGTCTGTGTCTGTGTGTGTGTCTGTGTGTGTGTGTGTGTGTGTGTGTGTGTGTGTGTGTGTGTGTGTCTGTGTGTGTGTGTGTGTGTGTCTGTGTGTGTGTGTGTGTGTGTGTCTGTGTGTGTGTGTGTGTGTGTGTCTGTGTGTGTGTGTGTGTGTGTGTGTGTGTGTGTGTGTGTGTGTGTGTGTGTGTGTCTGTGTGTGTCTGTGTGTGTGTGTGTGTGTGTGTGTGTGTGTCTGTGTGTGTGTGTGTGTGTGTGTGTGTGTGTTTTCTTTTCTTTTCTGTTTTTCATTTTTATGATCCAAGAATAATTCACGGAAAATAAACGACACTTTTCTCTCTGTTTCTGAAACTTCAGACGTTATTTCACGTGTTTCTGTTTTACGGTTAAATATAAATGTAAAATATATAATATTATATAATATCCACAAAGTCACCTGGACCTCTCAGTGTCACGTGTGACCGGAACAAAACACACCTGCAGATCTGGTTCAACTCACCTCCGGGGCTGGTGTGCTCCTCACCGCGACTGGAGCCTCACTGTCCCCGGGTCTGGAGCCTCACTGTCCCCGGGTCTGGAGCCTCACTGTCCCGGGGTCTGTTCCCTGTCTGTCTGTCGGTCTGTCTGTCGGTGGTGTCTGTCTGTGGTGTCTGTGGTGTCTGTCTGTCTGTCGGTGGTGTTTGCCTGTCGGTCTGTCGGTGGTGTCGGTGCGTGTCCGGGTTGGAGCTTCGGTCACCGGACACTTTCCGCCGCCTTCGTCACACGCGTTTCCATGGAGACCGTCGCGCCGCGTTAACGGAAGGAAAAGAAAAACCATGAAAGAGAAAAACCCGGACACGGTGAAGACTCCGCGGAGAAACAGAAGAGAAGCGGAGGACGGAGCTGAAAACGCGGAGTTTTGTGATTTATTTACTCTTGAAATACTTTAAAATACTTTTACCCAGCTCGTCTGTTGTGCGCATGCGTGGGAATGATTAGCGCGTCTTGTAGGTAAAGAGAAAAGTAAAGATGAGAGACCAGAGGACCGTCCTGGGATCATCCGGGACCGTCCTGGACCGTCCTGGACCGTCCTGGGATCATCCGGGACCGTCCTGGGACCGTCCTGGACCGTCCTGGGACCGTCCTGGGACCGTCCTGGGACCGTCCTGGACCGTCCTGGACCGTCCTGGGACCGTCCTGGACCATCCTGGACCGTCCTGGACCGTCCTGGGACCGTCCTGGGACCGTCCTGGACCGTCCTGGACCGTCCTGGGACCGTCCTGGGACCGTCCTGGGACCGTCCTGGACCGTCCTTCCGGGACCGTCCTGGGACCGTCCTGGACCGTCCTGGGACCGTCCTGGACCGTCCTGGACCGTCCTGGGATCATCCTGGACCGTCCTGGACCGTCCTGGGACCGTCCTGGACCGTCCTGGACCGTCCTGGGACCGTCCTGGGATCCGGGACCGTCCTGGGACCGTCCTGGGACCGTCCTGGGACTTCCTAAAGTTCTTCCTTCCGTCACACTGACACTTTTTTTGACACATTTTGTTCTTTAAACCTGTAATTTTCTTTCAGATTTTGTTTTTTTTTTCATCTAAATGTTTATTGGTGCAACTAAAGTGACGTAATTCAAACATATTTAAACTATTTCAACATTTGTACATAAATCACCAAAGAAACTGTGGCTTCTGGACTCATTTATTTATTTATTCATTCATTTATTTCTATAAAGCTGTGCACATGTTTTTTCTGCTGATTTCATGTGATTTTGTGTTTTGTGTTTACATCACAGACGCAACAGTCACATGTTTAATGACAAGATGTTTATTTAGTTTGAAATGTATTTTAACAAATTTAAAAAAAAATACTTTTGGTGGATCAAGAAATAGCGTGTGTACAGGTGTGTACAGGTGTGTGTGCAGGTGTGTGTGTGTACAGGTGTGTATAGGTGTGTACAGGTGTGTGTGCAGGTGTGTGTACAGGTGTGTACAGGTGTGTGTACAGGTGTGTGTGTGTGTACAGTTGTGTACAGGTGTGTACAGGTGTGTGTACAGGTGTGTACAGGTGTGTACAGTGTGTGTGTACGGTACAGGTGTGTACAGGTGTGTACAGGTGTGTGTACAGGTGTGTGTACAGGTGTGTGTACAGTGTGTGTACAGGTGTGTACAGGTGTGTACAGGTGTGTGTACAGGTGTGTACAGGTGTGTACAGGTGTGTGTACAGGTGTGTACAGGTGTGTGTGTGTACAGGTGTGTACAGGTGTGTGTACAGGTGTGTGTACAGTGTGTGTGTACAGGTGTGTGTACAGGTGTGTACAGGTGTGTACAGGTGTGTGTACAGGTGTGTACAGTTGTGTACAGGTGTGTGTGTGTACAGGTGTGTGTACAGGTGTGTGTACAGGTGTGTGTACAGGTGTGTGTGTGTGTACAGTGTTGTGTGTGTGTACAGGTGTGTACAGTGTGTGTGTACAGTGTGTGTGTGTACAGTGTGTGTGTACAGGTGTGTACAGGTGTGTACGGTACAGGTGTGTGTACAGGTACAGGTGTGTACAGTGTGTGTACAGGTGTGTGTACAGGTGTGTACAGGTGTGTGTTTACAGGTGTGTGTACAGGTGTGTACAGGTGTGTGTACAGTTGTGTACAGGTGTGTGCACAGTTGTGTACAGGTGTGTGTACAGGTGTGTACAGGTGTGTGTACAGGTGTGTGTGCAGGTGTGTGTACAGGTGCGTTGGCATCTTTCCTGCTTGTTGTTTTTTAAGTGTGAGCAGCTGAAGTGTCCGGTGGGCGGAGTCACCACTCGAGTCACATAAACGTGTTTATGTGTGGGGGGTGAATGTTGAATTTTACAAACAATAAAAAGAACAAAGTGACAGAAATTTGTGACAAGTTACAGAGAAAAACCACAGAGGTCAAATTCTTTCAATCATAACTCAGACTCGGATGTGAAGAGTTTTCTTTAGTTTATTTCCATGGTTACGTGAGGAGAGTCTCTTCTGATTGGACGCTCAGGTGCGCTGGCCCCGCCCCTTCACCTCGGGCTTGTTTCCGAGGAGACGGTCGATCTGAGAAACGACGGAATCATCGAGGAGCGAGAGAACCTGCGGAGAACAAGAAGAACGAAAAGAACGAGAAGAACGGGTCAGGAGAGATGAAGGTCTGGAGAAGTCTGGGAGGAGGGGAAGCGTCTGGGGAGGGGGAGGTGGAAGTGTCTGGGGAGAGGGAGGTGGAAGCGTCTGGGGAGGAAGTGTCTGGGGGAAGGGAAGTGTCTGGGGAGAGGAAGTGTCTGGGGAGAGGAAGTGTCTGGGGAGAGGAAGTGTCTGGGGAGAGGAAGTGGAAGTGTCTGGGGAGAGGAAGCGTCTGTGGAGAGGAAGTGTCTGGGGAGAGGGAGGTGGAAGCGTCTGGGGAGAGGAAGTGTCTGGGGAGGAGGAAGTGTCTGGGGAGAGGAAGTGTCTGGGGAGGAGAGGAAGTGTCTGGGGGAAGTGTTCTGGGGAGAGGAGGTGGAAGGTCTGGGAGAGAGCGTCTGGGGAGAGGAAGCGTCTGGGGAGGGGGAGGTCTCACCCTGGTGGAGTGCAGGTTTTCCTGGAGCTGTTCTGTGCTGGAGACGCCCAAAAGAACTGAAGACACACCCCCAGAACGAAGACACCACGCTGAAAGTACACACACTATATACAAGTACACACAGTACAAGTACACAGTACAACACACACTATATTACAAGTACACACACAGTATATACAAGTACACACACTATATACAAGTACACACACTATATACAAGTACACACAGTATATACAAGTACACACAAGTACACACAATACACAGTATATACAAGTACACACACATATACAATACAAAGTACACATACAAGTACACACAGTATATACAAGTACACACAAGTATATACACAGTACTATATACAAGTACTACACACACTATATACAAGTACACTACACACACTATATACAAGTACACACACAGTATACAAGTACAAGTACACACAGTATATACACACAAGTACACACAGTATACACAATACAAGTACACACTATATACAATACACAAGACAACACAAGTATACAATAGTACAAGTACACAGTATACAAGTACACACTACACAGTATATACAAGTACACACAGTAGTATATACAATACACACATACAAGTATACTACACAGTATTACAAGTACACACACTATATACAAGTACACACAGTATATACAAGTACACACAGTAGTACAAGTACACACAGTATATACAATACACACACAGTACAAGTACACACTATATACAAGTACACACAACTATAGTACACACAGTATACAAGTACACACAGTATATACAAGTACACACAGTATGTACAAGTACACACAGTATATACAAGTACACACAAGTACACACAGTATATACAAGTACACACAGTATATACAAGTACACACAGTATATACAAGTACACACAGTATATACAAGTACACACAGTATATACAAGTACACACAGTATATACAAGTACACACAGTATATACAAGTACACACACTATATACAAGTACACACAGTATATACAAGTACACACAGTATATACAAGTACACACAAGTACATACAAGTACACACAGTATATACAAGTACACACAGTATATACAAGTACACACAGTATATACAAGTACACACAGTATATACAAGTACACACAGTATATACAAGTACACACAGTATATACACAAGTACACACAGTACACACAAGTATACAAGTACACACAGTATATACAAGTACACACAGTATATACAAGTACACACACTATATACAAGTACACACAGTATATACAAGTACACACAGTATATACAAGTACACACAAGTACAAGTACACACAGTATATACAAGTACACACAGTATATACAAGTACACACAGTATATACAAGTACACACAGTATATACAAGTACACACACTATATACAAGTACACACACTATATACAAGTACACACAGTATATACAAGTACACACAGTATATACAAGTACACACAAGTACACACAGTATATACACAGTAATATACAAGTACACACAGTATATACAGTACACACACTATATACAAGTACACACAGTACACACAGTATATACACACAGTATATACAATACACACAGTATATACAAGTACACACAGTAGTACATACAAGTATATACAATTACACACAGTATATACAAGTACACATACAAGTACACAGTATATACAAGTACACACAGTATATACAAGTACACACAGTATATATACAAGTAGTACACACAGTATATACAAGTACACACAAGTATATACAAGTACACAAGTATATACAAGTACACACAAGTACAAGTACACAGTATATACAAGTACACACAGTATATACAAGTACACACAGTATATACAAGTACACACAGTATATACAAGTACACACAGTATATACAATTACACACAGTATATACAAGTACACACAGTATATACAAGTACACACAGTATATACAAGTACACAGAGTATATACAAGTACACACACTATGTACAAGTACACACAGTATATACAAGTACACACAGTATATACAAGTACACAGAGTGTTTTTCTGTAGTGTTAAAGCCACACTGTGGTTTGTTTAATCCTTGAGTCTGACAGGAGCGACAGGAGCGACAGGAGCGACAGGAGCGACAGCGACAGGAGCGACAGGAGCGACAGGAGCGACAGGAGCGAGCGACAGACGAGCGACAGGGGCGACAGGAGCGACAGCGACAGGGCGACAGGAGCGACAGGGGCGACAGGGGCGACAGGGACAGGTCTGTGTCTCAGGTGAACGTGTCTCTGAGCTCAGGACAAACTGAATGGCTGAGGGGCAGACTGAGAGGGCGGGGCTGAGGGGGCGGGGCTAGGGGCTGAGTGGGCGGGGCTAGGGGCTGTGTTACCTATGGCGAGCTGAGCCGGGGTGCAGTTGAGGCGCTCGGCCACCTGGTGGAGCTCTGTGATCTTACTGATCTGCCTCTTCCCCTCGTCACTGCAGAGACGCTCCCTCAGCCACGAGTGACCCTGTAACCACGGCAACGCACCCGAGTCAGGGCTGTAACCACGGCAACGCACCCGAGTCAGGGCTGTAACCACGGCAACGCACCCGAGTCAGGGCTGTAACCACGGGACTAAACCAGGACTAAACCAGGACTAAACCAGGACTAAACCAGGACTCGGTCTTTAACGAGTGTCAAAAGGATAAAAAAAATTTCTGGATTCTCACACTGACTCAGGAATCTAACCCACAACCTGGAACATTACAGAAACCAACAAACCAATGGGGAGGCACCTGACACATGGTGGAGGGACCTGACACACCTGACACACGTGGAGGACCTGACACTTACGTGGAGGGACCTGACACACACGTGGAGGGACCTGACACACACGTGGAGGGATGAGGAGGGGACCTGACACACACGTGAGGGACTGACACATACGAGGAGGGACCTGACACACCTGACACACACGTGGAGGGACCTGACACACGTGGAGGGACCTGACACACGTGGAGGGACCTGACACATACGAGGAGGGACCTGACACACGTGGAGGGACCTGACACACGTGGAGGGACCTGACACACACGTGGAGGACCTGACACACACGTGGAGGGGACCTGGAGGGACTGACACACGTGGAGGGACCTGACACACACGTGGACACACACGTGGGGGACCTGACGTGGAGGGGACACACAGGGACCTGTGGAGGGACCTGACACACACGTGGGGGACCTGACACAACGGACCAGGTCTAAACCAGGGGACACCTGACACTAAACCAGGAGGGGACCACACGAGGACCTACACACGTGGAGGGGACCCTGACACACAGGTGGAGGGACCTGACACACTAAACCAGGAGGAGGGTCTAAACCCTAAACCAGGACACAGGTCTTCTGTGGTTGGTGTACCGATCTTGTGGTAAAGTTCTGGCAGGTGCAGCTCCACTCGCTCCCGGTGGAAGTAATGATACTCGGCCTGTTCACACACCGGGGCATCCAGGTTAAACTGACGCGCCACCGAGTACGCCTCCTGCAACATACACCGAGTACTGTTACTACTACTACTACTACTACTACTACTACTGCAGGACACCACGAGTACTGTTACTACTACTACTACTACACTACTACTACTACTACTACTACTACTACACTACTACTACTACTACTACAAGGACACCAAACACTGTTAACTACTACTACTACTGTGACGGATGCCGTCCTCGTTGTTTTTTTTCTTACCTCACCCCACCTCAGTTCCACCCTGGATCCGCCCTGCTGATCTGCCTCACCTGGTCCTACTGATCAGCGGGGGTATAAAAGCTGGAGTCAACCTGAGAAGTGGGAGGAGTGGATCCTCTGCTGCTGCGAGCTTTAGTTGTTCTTTTTTGTGTCTCGATCTACGTTTTTGTAATAAACCTCCTTCTTTTTTTTCACCTCACCACCTTCCCGTTTTGTTCCACACCAGGTTCATTTTAACATCTTTTTCAGTTACTTCACTCACCCAAACAGTGGGTTCGAACACTACTACTACTACTACTACTTACTACTACTACTGCTACTACTACTACTACATACTACTACTACTACTACTACTACTACTACTACTACTACTACTTACTACTACTACTACTACTACTACTACTACTACTACTTACTGACTACTTACTACTAACTACACTACTACTACTATACTACTACTAACTACTACACTAGACTACTACTACTTACTACACTACTACTACTACTACTACTACTACTACTACTACTACTACTACTACTACTACACTACTCTACACTACAAAACTGTACTACTACTACTACTACTAACTACTACTACTACTACTACTACTACTACTACACACCACGACACTACTACTACTACTACTACTACTACTACTACTACTACTACTACTACTACTGCAGGACACCACGAGTACTGTACTACTACTACTACTACTACTACTACTACTACTACTACTACTGCAGGACACCACAAGTACTGTTACTACTACTACTGTACTTACTACTATACTACAGGACTTACTACGAGTACTGTTACTATTACTACTCCTCCTCCTGCAGGACAGGAGTACTGCATCAGGAGTCAGTGTGGAGGTGCAGTTCTCACCATGATCTCCAGGGGGCTCCAGTGGGACGTTCCCCAGTACAAAGTCAAACCCTGATCCACCAGGAAACTCATGGCCCTGACCACCTCTGAAAAACACACAGGAACCAGGACTGAACCAGGACTGAACCAGGACTAAACCAGGTCTAAACCAGGTCTAAACCAGGACTAAACCAGGACTAAACCAGGTCTAAACCAGGACTAAACCAGGACTAAACCAGGACTAAACCAGGACTAAAAACAGGACTAAACAGGACTAAACAGGTCTAAAGGACAGGGTCTAAACCAGGTACTAAACCAGGACTAAACCAGGACTAAACCAGGGACTAAACCAGGACTAAAACCAGGACTAAACCAGGACTAAACCAGGGACTAAACCAGGACTAAACCAGGACTTAAACCAGGACTAAACCAGGTCTAAACCAGGACTAAACCAGGACTAAACCAGGACTAAACCAGGACTAAACCAGGACTAAACCAGGACTAAACCAGGACTAAACCAGGACTAAAACAGGACTAAACCAGAACCAGGACTAAACCAGGACTAAACCAGGACTAAACCAGGAAACCAGGACTAAACCAGGACTAAACCAGAACCAGGACTAAACCAGGACTAAACCAGAACCAGGACTAAAACAGGACTAAACCAGACAACCAGGACTAAACCAGGCTAAACCAGGAAACCAGGACTAAACCAGGACTAAACCAGGAACCAGGACTAAACCCAGGTCTAAACCAGGTCTAAACCAGACTGAACCAGGTCTAAACCAGGACTAAACCAGGTCAAACCAGGATTAAACCTAAACCAGGTCTAAACCAGGATTAAACCAGGTCTAAACCAGGTCTAAACCAGACTAAACCAGGATTAAACCAGGATTAAACCAGGTCTAAACCAGATCTAAACCAGGTCTAAACAGGATTAAACCAATCTAAAACCAGACTAAACCAGGACTAAAACCAGGACTAAACCAGGACTGAACCAGGACTGAGGAGGACAGACCTTCCATGGGGGCGCTGACGTCGCTGCGATTTGCAAAAACAATATCGACGTAATCCAACTGTAACCTGCAGAGGGAGCCCTTGAGACCTGCAACACAACAGAACCAGGTCCAAACCAGGTCAAACCAGGTCAAACCAGGTCTAAACCAGGTCTAAACCAGGACTAAACCAGGTCTAAACCAGGTCTAAACCAGGTCACAGGTTCTAAACCCAAACCAGGCTAAACCAGGTCTAAACCAGGTCTAAACCAGGTCTAAACCAGGTCCAAACCAGTCTAAACCAGGTCTAAAACTAAACAGTCTAAACCAGTCTAAACCAGTCTAAACCAGGGTCTAAACCAGGTCTAAACCAGGTCTAAACCAGGGACCAACTAAACCAGGTCTAAACCAGGTCTAAAAAACCAGGACTAAACCAGGTCCTAAACCAGGACCCTAAACCAGGTCTAAAACCAGTCTAAACCAGGTCTAAACCAGGTCTAAACCAGGTCTAAACCAGGTCTAAACCAGGACTAAACCAGGTCTAAACCAGGTCCGAACCAGGTCCAAACCAGGTCTAAACCAGGTCCAAACCGGGTCTAAACCGGGTCTAAACCAGGTCTAAACCAGGTCTAAACCAGGTCTAAACCAGGTCTAAACCAGGTCCAAACCAGGTCCAAACCAGGTCTAAACCAGGTCTAGGTGTGTACCTTCGATGATGTGTTTGCGGGACAGTCCTCTCTCCGTCTCAGCTCTGAAACAAACAGACTTGGTTGGATCCAGACTGTAAGGCTAACCACTCTGCCGCGTGTGCAGGCTGTACTCACTGTCCACCCCAGAAGATCTTTGTGGTGACCACGTAACTGGACCTTCTGCAGGAACCAGAGGAACATGACAAGAAAACACTGATGTGATTCTCGGTCTAGAGTCTAGAGTCTGGTTCAGTCCTGGTTTAGTCCTGGTTTAGTCCTGGTTTAGTCCTGTTTTAGTCCTGGTTTTAGTCCTGTTTGTTTTAGTCCTGGTTTAGACCTGGTTTAGCCTGTTTAGTCCTGGTTTAGTCCTGGTTTAGTCCTGGTTTAGACCTGGTTTAGTCCTGGTTTAGTCCTGGTTTAGTCCTGGTTTAGTCCTGGTTTAGTCCTGGTTTAGTCCTGGTTTAGTTTAGTGACTCACTTCCATGGCTTCCTCTTCAGGATGGACCCCAGTGTGCTCTCCGCCCTAAACACAGAAAAAATCGTCAGGTCCTCTGTGTGTGTCAGGTCCTCTGTGTGTCAGGTCCTCTGTGTGTCAGGGTCCTCTGTGTGTGTGTGTGTCAGGTCCTCTGTGTGTCAGGTCCTCTGTGTGTCAGGTCCTCTGTGTGTGTCAGGTCCTCTGTGTGTCAGGTCCTCTGTGTGTCAGGTCCCTCCTGTGTGTGTCAGTCCTCTGTGGTCCTCTGTGTGTCAGGGCCTCTGTGTGTCAGGGCCTCTGTGTGTCAGGTCCTCTGTGTGTCAGGTCCCTCCTGTGTGTGTCAGGTCCTCTGTGTGTCAGGTCCTCTGTGTGTCAGGTCCTCTGTGTGTCAGGTCCTCTGTGTGTCAGGTCCTCTGTGTGTCAGGTCCCTCTGTGTGTCAGGGTCCTCTGTGTGTCAGGTCCTCTGTGTGTCAGGTCCCTCTGTGTGTCAGTCCTCTGTGTGTCAGGTCCTCTGTGTGTCAGGGCCTCTGTGTGTCAGGTCAGGTCCTCTGTGTCAGGGCCTCTGTGTGTCAGGTCCCTCCTGTGTGTCAGGGCCTCTGTGTGTCAGGGCCTCTGTGTGTCAGGGTCCTCTGTGTGTCAGGGTCCCTCTGTGTGGTCAGTCAGGTCCTCTGTGTGTCATGTGTGTGTCAGTGTCCTCTGTGTGTCAGGTCCCTCTGTGTGTCCAGGCTCTGTGTGTCAGTCCCTGTGTGTCAGGGTCCTCTGTGTGTCAGGTCCCTCCTGTGTGTGTCAGGTCCTCTGTGTGTCAGGGCCTCTGTGTGTCAGGGCCTCTGTGTGTCAGGGCCTCTGTGTGTCAGGGCCTCTGTACCGTCCTGCGGCGTAAACTTCTGCTGTGTCGAACAGGTTCACTCCACTGTCATAGGCCAGAGTCAAGATCTGCTCCGCCTCCTGAAACAAGACCTGGTTTAGACCTGGTTTAGTCCTGGTCTAGTCCTGGTCTAGTCCCGGTCTAGTCCTGGTTCAGTCCCGGTCTAGTCCTGGTCTAGTCCCGGTCTAGTGGTCTAGTCCTGGTTCAGTCCTGGTCTAGTCCCGGTCTAGTCCTGGTTTAGTCCCGGTCTAGTCCCGGTCTAGTCCTGGTTTCAGTCCTGGTCTAGTCCCGGTCCCTGGTCTAGTCCCGGTCTAGTCCGGTCTAGTCCGGTCTAGTCCCGTCTAGTCCCTGGTCTAGTCCTGTCTAGTCCTGGTTTAGTCCCGGTCTAGTCCCGGTCTAGTCCTGGTTCAGTCCTGGTCTAGTCCTGGTTTAGTCCCGGTCTAGTCCTGGTTCAGTCCTGGTCTAGTCCCGGTCTAGTCCTGGTCTAGCCCGGTCTAGTCCCGGTCTAGTCCTGGTCTAGTCCCGGTCTAGTCCCGGTCTAGTCCTGGTTCAGTCCTGGTCTAGTCCCGGTCTAGTCCTGGTTTAGTCCCGGTCTAGTCCCGGTCTAGTCTGGTTCAGTCCTGGTCTAGTCCCAGTCTAGTCCTGGTCTAGTCCTGGTCTAGTCCCGTCTAGTCCTGGTTAGTCCCGTCTCAGTCCCGGTCTAGTCCTGGTAGTCCCAGTGGTCTAGTCCCGGTCTAGTCCCGGTCTAGTCCCGGTCTAGTCCCGGTCTAGTCCTGTACCTCGTCTGAGATCTGAGAGCCAAACGTCACCCAAGTCCCTGAAACAGAACCAGACCAAAGTGAGAATCGTAACCAGATCTGCAGATCCACTTTAAACAAAAAGACTCACCGAGACCGAGACAAGAAACACGAAGACCGGACTTCCCCAGACTCCTGAGAGACAAGAACAGGATCTGAACCAGACCAGACCAGACCAGGACCAGACCAGGACCAGACCAGACCAGACCAGGACCAGACCAGGACCAGGACCAGACCAGGACCAGGACAGGACCAGACCAGACCAGACCAGGACCAGGACCAGACCAGGACTGACCAGACCAGACCAGACCAGGACTGAACCAGGACCAGGACCAGGACTGGACCAGACCAGGACCAGGACCAGACCAGACCAGGACCAGATCAGGACCAGGACCAGGACCAGGACCAGGACTGAACCAGACCGGGACCAGACCGGGACTAGACCGGGACCGGACCGGGACCAGACCAGGACTAGACCGGGACTAGACTGGGACTAGACCAGGACTAGACCAGGACTAAGCCAAAACGAAACCAGGAGTTTTAATCAGTTGCCGTGACGACTGTAACAGCTTTGCGTTGACCTTTGACCTTTGTGCCGCTCTCTGATTGGTCGAGGATCAGAGGCGTCTGGAGTGCTGCGTTCTGATTGGCTCAGAGCCGCTGAGGTTTAATTAAACTGAAGCTTCATCAGCG